GTGTGCAAGTGAAAGCACAGTTACAGGTGAAGAGATAACGTTAAGGGTCCGTCTAAGGGATGTTTAATATCCTCCATGGTATTGCAAAAGGGTATGAAGATACCTGAAGATAGGAGGTGCCAATTTATGTGGAGCATCATAAGGTTTGTACATGAAAAAAAATAATGCTGGTCTCCTGAGGCAGGGTCACTTTGGTCCTGGCCAGCTCCCACTCACTGCAGTGTACACAAAGTAAAGAAAGAAGGAGGTTCTGCACAAAGTGCATACATAGATGCAAGAAAGGCAGCGTGTGCGTGCAGCAGAGAGAGCTGTGAGCGAGATGGTATCGGAACAGGCCCTCAGCAAGTTTTACATGGCAAACTTCGTTGCTTTTTCATTGTGTCAGGACCCTAAACAACGCTGCTGGCCCTTGCCATAGCTAAAGGTCTTCTGGGGATTAATACAAGCTTCATGTTTGTCATTTTAAAGGAGGAACAAAAAGGCAAGAAGAAAAAAAATACCAAAAAGAAGCTGTCAACCAACAACGTGAACAAACCGGCTCAGGAAGGCAGCTCTCCAGAGCCAAAGCTGGAGTCACATGCCAGCAGCCTCACAGATCACGAGTACACCGCAGGGGCCAGCACCTTTGGGGTCGCCCAGCCTAACAGGGGATCGCAGCCGATGGCGCCTGGTGTTTTCCTCACACAGAGGCGACCTTCTTCATCCTCACAGAACAACGCCTCCGCCAAAGGTACCAGGAAACGCCTGGGGTTATGGTACAGGAACGGGGAAGGGTGATTCAGTCATGTAATCCATGCGCTTTGCAGGGCCCCTACATGTTGTCTGCCATGGGTCTGTAAAAGTGTTTTGGCAGATCAAAGCTGTTGGAGATCAGGCCCATGGCCTTCATTGTTCTGGCGCTTTGTGCCCAAACATGCACTTTGCTGCAGGGCATGAGGCACGCTATACTAGGAGATATTCCCAAGCACATCTGGTAAATAGAGTAGATAGGCCCTGTTCTTAAGGAATTGGTCACATCACAGTCCAGCCTGTCTGATGAAGCCTTGAGATGAGTCTGCAATACTTGTCTTGCCCATGACAAGGCCAGGAGCTGTCGTGGTTGTGTAGTGTTTTTATACCAATACATATGACCGTGTGAGAATGAGGAGTTCCTACCAGTGAGTGTAGAGCAGTGTGAATCTGAAAATCCATCTTGATAGCTGCCTCAAGGGAGTGGAGGAATGTCAAACCTCAAGAGTAACACAGCACTCAACCAAATCCAAGAGAGAGGAAGAGGTCGCTTGTCTGCTACAGGGAAAACATTGCACAGCTGAGGCGATCTTGAAGTCTGGGCTAGGTCCTCCTATTCTCTGCTTGAACACTGCAAAAAAATAAAATAAAATAAAAATAAAGGCAGGTGTGTAGGACAGGCAGAAAAAGTCAGTCCAGTGCACTGAATACTGTGAAAATTGATTGTGCGAAACTGCTCGGAGAGGTCTTGATATAAAAAGCGAGGTGATGTGACAGATGTTTCCTCTGTATTTGAGCGGAGCAAGTCAGAGGCAATGCAAGATGTCCTGCAGACCTCTCTGAAAAGTGCCAAGCAGTAAAACATACGGGCAATTGGATGGGCCGTGAAGTGGTGTGAACAAGAGGACATGTACAGCCAGTGGGAAGTAGGGGCACTCTAGGAGCTGGCTGTGACTGTGCCTACCTGCAGAACCAGACTGAAAAGCAAATATTTGCCTGGAACTGGGTCTATCTGTGGAACTGTGTGGTGAAATGGTGGCATTAGTAAAACAGCTTCAAGCAAGTGGAAGATGTGATGGGAAGACGAGTGCTGAATGGAGCCAAACTCCAGAGTGCCGGCCGGTGAGTGAGGCAGCCCAGTCAGGGCATCGTGAAGGCAACCTGAACAGGCACGTGGATCGCACCTTGTCCGTGTCCATGATAGCTGAGTCCCCAAAGGAACTATGTGCCAAGAAAGTGAGTGGCTGACCTCTCAGCACTTTCAGGACCTCCTCTGTGCTGGGCCTAGGGACAGCTAGGGGTGCAGAGGGCACTTCAAAGCATCTCTCTGCTCAGGAAAGTTCTGGGCCTGGGGACTACAAGATTGGGCATCACTAGGGTTGAAGGGAATGTGGAAGGAGATGGTGGGATGAAGCAGAGTTAGATCTCTGAGGCCACTTTGTCATCAGGGAATGCAGAGGACTTGGTCTTGAAGAGTGAGGTAAGACAATAAGAAATGAGGAAGCTGTGATTTTTCTTAATGTACTGCGGTGCTCTTTGTGGTTGTCGAAGCACATGTGGAGAAAAAAAATGATGGGGAGCCTCACAGCCTGCCATTTGGTCTGATAGGAAGTGTCACGTACACTGTCATGGCCTTTTAAAGCTGAGATCCTTCATGCAGATGGGAAAAGTGAAGTGGAACCAACCCTGCAGGCATTGCACATGAGCACACCAATACCTGCTTGTGCTTGTGTTAGTCTTCGGCACCTTGGAGACCAGTGGAGTTTCTGGCTGTAAGTTACGTGGCAGCCGGTGAGAGAGGGCCAGATATCAGCCCTGATACTTTACAAGTAATGGAGAAGACAAGTATGTAGCGAACACAGACCTTCCTGTACTGCAGAGCACGCGAGCACAAGTTTGGGATCCTGGTGGAGTTTTCCTTTCATGCGTGTGGGGATAGGGAAGGTTTCCTACTCCAAGTGCTAGGTAACGTCTTTGTGCTGGCTTGACTATGTAGGGAGTATGTGCTTGCATGTTTGAGAGTGTGTGTGCATGCCTTTTCAGGGGCCTTCTGACTAGACTGGATGCAGGTATAAGGTAGCGTTGGAACATGGAGGCTGGACTGTCACTCTGTGAGGAGGCAGGTCGCCCATGAGCAAGGCCTGACGTTTAATGAGCCAAGGTGTGTGTGTGTCACAGGGTGAGGGTGCAGTGCAGGGGCCTCTAGGTAGAAGTCTGTAGGTGCTTGGCAGAGGAGAGGAATGAGTTGCATCTCCACCGTGAACATGGTGTATTGAAAGGCTTGTGTCCATGCTAGACAGGTAAGTGATAGGAGAAGTCCCAGTGATGATCTGTTGTGTCTCATGCTGGGACATCCTGGAGGGTGTTGGTTGGTTTGGTGGTGGTTTGGCAGAGGCTGGGCCCTCCGATGCGTGACATGAAGCAGCGTGGCGATGGGTGCCTGCCTGAGGGGGTCATGGTGGCAGCCTGTAGTGTGGGGATCGTCACAGGGTTGCCTGGGAGGTAGCCAGGAACCTGGGCAGCAGCATGAGACTGCAAGGGGGGCTGGATAGATGTTTGTGGGGCTGTGTGGGTGGGAGCAGCAGTGCTGTCCCTCTGCCCAGCCGTGCCTTGAGGGCCATGCTGAGCCCTTCACCAGCACCTCTGGTCTCCTTCCAGGGAAACGCACGAAAAAGGGGATGGCCACGGCCAAGCAGCGGCTCGGGAAGATCCTGAAGATCCACCGGAATGGGAAGCTGCTCCTCTAGCTGCGGGTGCTGTGTGGCTGTGGCCAGGGGAGCCAGCCGCCCCGGGGCCGCTGCCCGTTCTCTTTCTGCCACCACAATAATAATCCCTTAACTTTCAGCGGTCGGAGTGTACAGAATCCTGCTATAAATATTTTTTAATATAGATGTCCTTTCTCAGAGTGCTGAGAGTGACTAGTCCGCAAAAAGTTAATGCTAATCCGGGCCACGGAGGAGCACCCTGACCTGGCCCCCGGCCATAAGCGCCCAGGAGTGGCCGGTGCCTCTTTCTGCTCAGTGGCCAAGGAAGGAGGGGGGGCCGCCAGGGCAACGACAT